CCCCAATTCTGTCGGAATTTGTTTCAGATCTAGTTTCAGTATTGCATGCGGATGACGATGGATTCTGATTGTTTGGTCGTGTCGGTGCTTTAGGGAGTATCTGGCTGTTTAAACATGATTCTGGAGTCTGAGTAGAACGTTCGGGTGTGACAATTTGAGGCTTTGTAGTTTAAGTCTGTTTGGCAGTTTACTGACAATGTGGATACTGGGCAAGTATGTACTTTTGAAGTGATTTCAGAGGATGTCCTGATGACAGATGCATATATCTCATTGGGCACTGCAGATTCAACCATTTTTTTGGGCATCAGCAAAGCTAATGTTTTGTGTGAATTTAATTATGTTAATTTCCATTTGTTTTTCCACACTTTATAGTCCTTTGAAAAGGAAGAATGGTTATCCGAACAGTTAGTACACTTTTTTAATGCCACTGTCACAGTCCTCGGTTACATGAGATGTCTCACTACAATGAACGCACGTGATTGGTTTTGTGCAAGTGTTTGCACCATGACCATATTTCTGACATCTATAACACCTTAACGGATTCGGAATATAGATGTCAACTGCAATATTACAATATCCTGCCTTGATTGACCATGGGGGATTCGGAGAGGAGAATGAAATAAGATAGGTGTTTGTTTGAATGATCTCATTGTTTTTCCAGGTGGTGAACCTTTTGACATATGTAACGCCTTGATCTTTCATTTCAGACACAATGTCTAGTTCTGTCATATCAGTCAAAAGGCGTTCCCTGTCTCTGACGATGCCTTTGTGCTAGTATCAAGGGTTCTGTGATCAGAAACTCAAACAGGGATGCCCACAAGAGTCAATGGACATGAGGTTTGACGCTTGTTGCCTTCTGTAACATTCAATTAGTAGTGCACCTGAACTTAAGCGTTTAATATTTTTGACATCTCCTGCAATGCCATGTATGCCCTTTGATATTGCAAATGGATTCAATTTCAGAGGCGTTTTATCAGGAGTCTCCAACACCAAGAATCGTGGCCAGTTATCAATAGATTTTGAAGGTTGTTCATCATCACTGTCTAGTGGACGTTTTTTTTTTTTGAGGGGGTTTGGTATACCATGGTTGTTTTTATAATGGTTCATCATCCCAGCTCTCCACCCACCACGGAGTATCACGAAGACAATGCTATAAGCCAGTGGATTTCCAACTAGCAGCACCAAGGATACTGGGATGATATACTCAAGCAGAAGTATCAATTCAAGATCAATAAATCCACCAGATTGACCCATGAGCCATCGCCTTCTGGGCATTAAGACTCCAGGTAAGTATACTTTGATCTATGTAAAATCAATTAATATTGCAGGTCTACAAGCTATTTGAACAAGACCCCATGGCAAACACTTGAAAGAATCAAATTTGTGCAAAAACAAGTTGAATGCACAGGGCTCAGCATGACCAGCCGATTGGTTGAACAGGGCCCATTCAACCACCCGTCTAGGTGAAGTCAGGGGCGAAATGGTGTGTTGGGCAAACGAACACTGTTCCTGGAACCAGTGCCCTCAACCACCAGACTCCCTTCCTCCACCGACACAGGGGCGCAACCCACGGCAAACGGGTTGGTGGACTAAATATACCCCCGGGTCCACAACGGGGGTCGAAGAGTGCTTAGCGTTACCCAGCACCCACCACGAGGAGGTGGCTCTTCACGGATGCCTTTTGACTACGAGGTCCATACATGGTACGATCCTGTCCAGGGCGTCGTGGAAAGTGACAGCTTTAAACTTCTTTGGAATAGACCCATATACAGACTCCGAAGGATTCCAGCCAACAATTTCAACGAGAAGGGGTTTTTTATTACCGCCGAATCCTGGGTATCAAAACCTACATTAAAAAACATCGACTGACATACCCGATATTAAAATCAGTCGTCTATCTGCACTGGTTCAGAAATAAATATTTCACTCGTAGATAAATCGCTGGCACGACTACGAATCAATGTCTGAAAACACTGATTACATTTCAAATGACTATATATTGTCGACAGGATTAGAACTATAAGCTATTTTTCGCAATGTTATTGAAAAAAACAATTCTCGGACACATGCTTCGGCAACCTGTCCACATCAAAGTTGTCAGAGAGCAAAGTAACGATGTTTCGAGGCAATAATTAAACAAGATGAATAAACTGAAGAAATATATTCAATAACAGTACTCATAAAAGTTGTCAAACGTACATTATAACTTACCATTTCCATCTTTATTGTGCGATCGTGTAATGTAATTCAAGTGACATCTCGGCTTTCGTCGCCTCGAACTTGGCGCTCGGACACGATGTTTAATGCTAAAATATATACATGAAGCATTTTTTTCACAGGTCCTAACCTAGCACGATACGTCCACTGAGGTCCAAAATATACGTATAGGTAGTGATCTTGTGAGTAACACGTTCAGAATATCATGATTTTTCACAAAGCTTTCGTCTGAATCTAAAAGTTTTCGTTAACGAGGACGGGTTCCATTGCTGTAGTATGATTGGCTGCCTTAGGTCACGTGTTAGGTTTTGACCAATCACGATCCTCGTAGCAGACTGTTGCAGAAAAGCGTTATTAGAAACCAATCTTTATCCAATAAAATCGCTTGCTACAACTGGGAAAATACCTTTGGCAAGGGTACAGTGATATTGTTGATGTTCAGAGCTTTCGAACGATACCCGCCATCAAACGAATCGCCTTATATGTTGTTCATACGAAGCTTCGAAAACAGAGGTATTTCGCACTGTTGTATCACGTTACTGAGCGGAAAGCCACTGGTATCGGGAAATAGGCGACCATACACATTATTGGAGAAATCTCTTTGTAATAGTTTTCCGATTACGTAAACATGAAAATATATAAAAATAACGTAAGGGGATAATTATGACGTTACAAATGGAAAAAAATCGCCGCATTGTTTGCTCCCTTCGTGGTTTATCTGGACATTATAGTGAGTGAGTGAGTCAATATTTAACGTCACATCGGAAATATTTCAGCCATATAGTGACGAGAAATTCTGGACATTATAAATGTGTAAGCTTGCATTTTTATTAAATATTAACTTATTTACGTTGTACAGACTCGTGCCAGTTATATTCGGACACGTGACATATTTTCCATAGACTCACATGTTATTTCAGTGTAGCATCAATAATTTTCAGTGAGTTTAGGGTGGATCTTACTAAAATTTGAAAGGCAAATATGAAATCATTTCTGCTTTGCGCACATAATTTCAATTCAATTTTCCGACCACTATTTAACTAATGACATCACATTTATCAACTTACGTATGGCTCCACAATGCACAATTCCATAGGCCGCCTTGTTAAAGGTGTTCACGGCACTGTACATATGTTGATTAAATTGTTGCCATTCGATAAATAGAGGTTATGGAAAATTAAACAGAAATTATGTGATTGTAGGTAAGATGATTCCTCACAAATGTGCGAAATTTGACTTGGATCTTACGAAAATTATATTCATGAAAAATTTTATGCTACACTAAATTAACATGTAAGTCTATGGAAATTACCTCAAGTGTCCGAATATAACTGGCACAGGTCTGTAGTTGTATGATTTGAATAATATGATCATATCCGTCTGTCATGACTGAAGTAAACTATGCCAAAACATATTGTGTGTTTGTTTGTTATGATACCACACCTGCCAATGCTGCTTGACAAAGTCAAATTAATTTTTTGGTTTATTAAAGATTGAAATTTGAGGACTACCCAAATTGCGTGAGGACTAGTAGTTTGGTGAGAGCAGAAGAGCACAAACTGCACTCATTGTTGAGAGTGAGGGAGGCCCTCAGTTGCCAGAGTCCCCATTGAAATCACTTACTGCGCAGGTGAATATGATCAGCAGAAAGGGTTAAGGGCCACCTCCGTTTTCAATGCTGAAGTATTTAATAGTTAAGTTTATATTTAATATGACCCATGTGATACTTGGTAGATATTGAGGTGGTCTTCAAACTTTTCTGTTGAGTATGGATATTTCATATAGAGTAAGAAAATACTTGACCCATTGAAAATACTCCAACTATTTCATTATTTTGTTTAATATGTTCAAATTTAGTAATTGATTTCTGCATTTTGTAAACAAATAAGCAACAAGTCAAAGACAACTGGGCAGTATTAAAGTCAGTAGTGAATATGTCCCTTGTTTGTACTTTCATTTTATTAAATATAGAGGATATTTCATGTTTCCAGTGCAATATCAGTTACCTCTCATCTCATAATGGAGAAAGGCTGTTATTTGCAGAGATATAACACTGGAAACATAACAAATCCTATATATTCGATGCTTCAAAGATGGTAAAGAGGCATGTGCAGACTGTTCATACCATTGTTGCACTGTCACCAAGCAATGACTATTAAATGATGTCAGGATGATTGTAATAGTGAGGTAACCGCATTCTACAAATTACCTCAACATCTTTTTGATATAATTACAGAGTTAAGAAAACTCAGTCATTTACTCTTATGATTCACAATAATTACTGTTCTCTTTCAATATTTTTTTCGACCACCGACCCTAGGTTTTTTGGAAAAAACATCCATAAACCAATTAATAAAAAAACCGGCCTTACAAAGTAAATGTCTGCTAAAACCAGTCGCTTCAGATGTCAAGGGGATGTTTCAATATGTGGGCTTAGGCATGAGGTGAAAAAGAACTATTTCATGGTGACTAATTGCAATGTTCCTGTTAAAGACATGTATTAAGTATGCTATGAGTCACAGATCACCGAGTTAGTTTTAAGTAATTTCTTAGCAGTAGAGAAACCACAATAGACGCTGATTAGAAAATGTTCCGGTGAACGTCAAAACAATTCTACAGATTCCAACTGCTGGATAGTGTTACGTTATGACAAAACATCTAGATATAGAAGCACATCCTCACCGCTTCATACCTTGTATTGTCAGCTTCCACTGACTGTGGAATTGGCTTGTTAAAAGGAAACTTAAGATGCCCATGTAAGTATGTGACCCCAATAAACCAACCTTGTAAGCACCCCACTGTCGTCTGACTTGCAGCACGTCCCCGTCATCTCCACAAGCCGTAAAGCCGATGTGCCAGGTGAGGGACTCACAGTGACTGATTTCAAACACGGTCCTTCCTGCCCGAACTACCACGCCACATGTACAGAAGGGACCATGTCGCCTTCGTTCCCTGCCACAATCTTCAGTTTGTATCTGTACCTGAATCACAAACCATAATCAAGGTAAGGAAGCAATGGGTGCACACACGTACACTTCATTATTTAGACGTTACACATAAGCGACACGTTACTTCCATGAGCGACACAGACATGCAAATGAAGATTATACATAGTTACTTTACATATTAGTTAAACCGAATATTTCACGAGTAGCAGTACCTCAATGTTGTTGAAGTCTGTGTATAATGTGTAAACATCTGCATGATCCAGGTAAAATCGCCTGCAAAATCAAACACACACTTGACGGAAACATTCTTCACCGTATAAATTCAGCAGTTTCCTGTGAACGCAAGTGTCATTAGTGAAGCCTTAGAGATATTTTTACCCTGCGAAACATGCAGTAGAAATATTACATTTGACAACGACTCAACGAGCATTTGTTTTGTTTCAGTTTTAAAGAAATTCTGGTAATGTGGGCGAAAGATATGTTTGGTACGTTATATCTGTTTAAAGATTACATACTGGGTTTCAATACTTACGTGCCGTCAAACGTTCTAATACGTGGGTCGTTTGCTGACGAACATGATTTACTTTGGAACAGAGTTGTATTTTTAACCAGTTGGATCTGTAGCAAGAGATCATTGTTGCAAGAAAATAATATCATATTCATGTAAAATAACAGGTTGTCTACCAGTACATTCAACATTTCGAAACGAAATAGTAATACTGCATCACAATAGATGTTTGTCAGCTTCAACATTCAGATGTCCTCAAAACCATAACATTAACACTAGCTATAACAGGTGTAACAGGTACTTATTGTAAGCGTGAAAAGATGGTAGCGAAAACACTAAATTGTTAAACAGGTCGGGGGCAAATTACAAAAATGCATTTTCCGGAAAGCATTACTATTACTACCGTTGCAGCCAACACCACATCTCTTGGCCAGGGTGTAACTCAAGAGTGGACCATTGTCATTTTGAGTTGTCCGACTGAGCACGGATTTATTGAGAGCGGTGGATATATTTTTAAGCTGACGCACAGGTCTTCTATTGACGCCTCAGATGTTCTCACTGGGAGAAAGAACATGACTGGGTGTTGCCCGTGGCATGAAACTAATATTTTGTTGTTGGAGGACGTCTCTTAATTCAACTCAAGAATGAATCATTCCTCAGGGCATATGACCGTAACCAAACGCAGACAATCTCATTACCCGTGAAGATCCGAATTAGAATTGGTATTCAGTAACCCATATGTTGGTCGTAAGAGGCAACAAACGGGATCGGGTGGTCCGGTTTGCTTACTTTTTTGACACATTTCATTGTAACTCAACTGCGTAGATCGAAGCTCATGCTATTGATCACTGGGTTTTCTGGTCCAAACTCGATCATATAGAAGCCCCGCCACGAAGCTAGAATATTGCTGAGGGCGGCTTTAAACAAAGGACAAACAAAAAAATCATCCCACCGACAGCACTAACGAGCCATTTAAGTAAACTAAGAGGTTGGTTGTCCTGCAGACGTCGTGCAAACAAATAATTTGTCTGTGCTGATAATTTGGCAGCGTCTTGGTATGCAGACCTGTTGCTACCGGTCTTGTACTGAGAGGCAGTTTGAACATGTTGGAACTGATCTTTCAGACTAATCTGTTCTGCTCTGGGGTCTTCTCTGTTGGGCGTCCAGAGCAGAATTAAATCGCATGTTTACTTATACCGAAACCGAGGGTTGTGATCGTTTCCATAACAAAACTCCAGAACGGTGGAATATTTCACGATAAAAATTGCCCTGCAGACCAGTCTGGTGGTAAAATGGTGAACTTTTGATTATATCTGGACTTATAAAGGTTTCATGACAAGCAGTCAGACCTTACTGATTTTTTTTTCAAGAATTTGGATATCTCATAAATTCTGAACAGCCTTATTTCTTCACTGATCCAAAGGTACCCAATGGCATCGCACAAAGTGTGACATAAATCGATATCTGTAAATCGCACCATGCGCCAACATCTAGGAGTGAGTGAATGAGTCCGTGAGTGGGTTTCGGTGAGTGAGTGAGTTCTGTTTGAGTTTACTTAATGCAATGAAATAATAATGCCAGATTCTTCAATGGTTATAAGGTGAAAATATTTGCTGTCAGCATATCTCTTTGTCTCACACGAGCAGAAATATAACACATTCCTTTACTTGGTGAACTCTAGCCTATTTCAGGTCAATGGGGCGTTTCAGAAACTATTTCCAATTAAACCTTTGAAAATACATTTGTGACCTTCACCATATTAGGTTTAACTCCATTTTGTATGTTGTTCCTTTCTAGCTAAATAGCTAAGAAAATCGGTACGTGTTCATAATGGACAATGGCTGATTACGACACGAATGACATGTGAATTTCAACTGCAACTCCTTGAAGCAAATTTACTTGGGTGTATTGGAAGAAATATCTTGCAACATTACAAATTACATTAGTTGAGGCAGAATTTGTAGTAACTTTTAAGAAGTAAATAGTTAAAACAAAATAATAATATGATATAAAAAAATAATATAATAATAAATAATGTCTGACTAATGCCACTACTATATATGAAGTCTACTTACCGTAACAAGTCCAATTTCATAGTCAGTCCAGAAGGAAGAAAACTGGATTGATCTGCTGGGTGTTTTCAGCTTCAGGTGCGTTGTGGCACTCTCCTCTTTATACAAAGGTGTAATTTTGCCAACGACACTCACTGATGTTCTACCATTAGTTGACCTTATTGGGTCAACAGAGCATGAGTTTTCAATGACTGAAGCAAGCGCGTTATTTCCTGGCTTTTCCACTCTCTGCACATTGATGTCAAATTCACACAGGAGCCCCTTGTCCCTGATGGCAGTGCCACAACCGAAGGGAACGGTGAGTTCCAGACCTATTGTACGTCTTTCACCTTCTTTTAGTGGTCGACTGCGGTTCTGCAAGATTAAGACTATTATCAAGCGAAAGGAATTTACACAGCATTTAATGCACTGAACAAGAATTCCAATACGTTTCATACAGATTAATGACTGAGTAGTGCACTCTTTCTTTCTAATATCTGGCAGACCAAACTTTCTTGTGATAAAATATTTACATAAACTACAAGAGGCACTCGCTTCTATATACTGTCTCAGTCTGCCTGAAGTAGATTATATGTTGATATGGTAAATGGTTGACTGTAGAAGGTAAGTATTTGTATGTGCATATTATACATTATCTTGTTTTCATACGCCGATGTTAATCAACCATACAATATGAATTTCCAGTGCGATAACAAAGTGTTATCTCCCATAATTTGCTGACGCGATGAATTTTCACAGTTAATTGTCATTTTGCTGCGGTTATATATGTACAAAACAGTGTATATTTAAGAGAATTTATATTATGCTTGATATTCTACTAAGCATGTGTTGAACAATAGGACCCTGGTATATATGAACACCAAATGTCAATGCAAGAGAATAACCACACATCAGACAGACTACATTTGCAACTTAGAGCAATATAGATGTGAAAATTGTAGATATTAGTATTAGAGTGTTGACAAAAAAAATCTTACAACAGAAAAAAACATGTCCTGTCCTACTGATGTCCAGTCCTACTATAATGATCACTGATGTCAGTGTTTCATTAAATCACTAATGGTAATGCACAGCACTTGTTTGAAATGTAAATGTAATAGGCTTCTCTGCCCAGTGACAGTTGAAGTTGGCTAGTGTTGGTATAGGACCTTGCGTTGTGTATATTATGTGATAATGGTAAAGTAGCCAACTTCAGATAGGCTCTATGAATCAGGCCACATTGATGGTAAAAACATAACAAATAGATAAGAGACACTCAATAATTTATTAACAAAACTTAATATAGTGAAATTCTCACTCCCTTAACCTAACCTAACCGATCAATCTAGCCCATACCTATTAACCTAACCTAACCTAGCCTAACCCCTACTCCCCTAACGAGACATGGTTCTGATTTCAGAGCTTATGTCCAAAAAAATACATATATTATTTCCTATGTAAAAATCAATGAATGTTGAAACAAATAACCCCCAAAAGCCTAGCTACTTGGTCTGGATTACCAGGACTCAAGCATCCGAAGTAAATGTCCACACTTCTGATGAACCCTTTAGAGGCAGGCAATGCATGTGCTGCACATGCCAGGCAGACCACGCCAACCTGCCGGGTGTGTTGTGGCTATGAATACTAGCATAGCAGAGAACACACGAATAACCCATGTTATATTAACCCAACCCCAAATGGAACTAAAATTCTACCCAAAATATCCTAAACTAACACATAAACAAAGACAAAAATTCAGACTTTACACTGTGTAGCATTTTGTAAAATTTTCAGACACTCATTCGTCTATTCGTAGCATGCATAAGCTCAATACTTTTAGAATATTTCTGGAAAGAGTATCGTAGCAACAATTAGAAATTTTGCAATAAATACAATACAGTAGTAATGTGATTTGTTTATACGAAATTGTCAAATTTTCAGCATTATGCCGTGACTGACGTAAAATCACGCAGAACGACAACGGCAATTATGTCTGGCTTCTACTCTTACTTACAATGAAAACGATAAAACATATAAGAGACTACAGATAGTCAGAATCATTGATTACTTACACCACATATGTATGTACAAACGATCCCTGAATCAAGGGAAGGAACCTCGCAAAATCCTGTGTACCAATTGCAAGCCAGAAAGGCCGCCATTTTGTAAGGAAGCGGTCAACGGTAGTGATGTCATAGTTGGCAATTTCTATCAGGTGAAGGTCGGTTGAATAAGCGTAAACACAATCACCATATCACCATTACACTTTCAGTATTATGATGTATATTTTGCTTATCGTTCAGATATCTTACATGAAACTAATGTCATTATCTACATTTAGTCTTGTTCAATATGATATCATACGCGGATATAGGGTATACGGTTTTTATTTTTGAAAGTTTTTGCTTGTTTGATAATATTTACATAAGAAATTGACATGTTGACATGAAAGTTAATCTGTCTAAAACCAAAATAGTTGTGTTTGGAAGGGGTCCCTCTGAAAATCCAAAGAATAAATTATGTTTTACTTATGGGGACAAGCGCATTGAAATTGCTGATAGCTATACTTATCTGGGTATCAAGCTCCATCGAAATGGAAGGTTTGTAACAGCAATTAAAAGTTTATGAAAATGCATCTAAAGCAATGTTTTCGCTGTTGAAAAAAGGTCGCAATTTGAATTTACCTCTAGATTGTCTGATATCAGCTTTCGATACTATGATAGTACCTATACTAATATATGATTCAGAAATATGGGGTTTTGAATGTCTATCGATAATAGAGAAAACTCTCTTAAAATTTCTAAAATATGCTTGTGGTCTTCGAAACTCAACTCCCAATGTCATGCTACATGGGGAATTAGGAAGATAAATTCTACTGAGCTTATGATGAAGCATGGAAACTTCAGACCACCAACAGAAACATCGACCAAGTTCAAGCAAGTATACAATGATGTAACCAGCCCAAACAAATCTTTATTAAGGGTTAGAATAAGTACCAGTAGCACAGTCTTGTCTCAACTTATAGAGTAGTCAGGATTAATATATTAATGATTAGGTTGACTGCATACCATATTATACTGAGTGAAGTTTATCATATTATCAATCGCAGGTTTTCATACAATGAGAAACATGTGGAGTGAGTGAGTTAATATTTATCGTCACATCGGCAATATTTCAGCCATGTTAACGAGTATCCCAGATAAGGTAGAAATAGCATGTAATCATAAAGCGATATTATTAAAGAGAACAATGCAGTATATAAGTGGGCTAGAGATCGTTAGCAACGCAAGTTACGCCACCATACTAGGGTCCATGGAGACTTACAATACTTCTGCTTCCTTCAAGGTTCTCAAGCTGGATTTATATCAGCCGGCTTCAGCTGCTAGCGATTGTAAGTATTGTATTGTTAGCAATTTATCTGAATACTACAAATATTCTACGATTAAAAAACGATGGTAAATATGAATTTTCTGTGATTGAAGTGGGTTTACATAACCTCTCGAAAAGAAAATAATATTACAGTACTGAAACCCCGTCAAGGGTACCGCCACTACAAATTACAGTAAATGTTTAAAATCTATAAAATATCCCCATGTGCATTAAATTTTATGAATCAAATCAATTTCTCGTAAAAATCAATAACATGATGAGAATTGATATTATTAAAAAGATCATTCATGGTTAGCGATTTTAAATAGTTATCCGTTGTGATGGAAAAATCAATTCAGTCAAGCAGGACATGCTTGACCGTGGTTCTCTCATCACAAGGGATACGAAATGGAGGATCCCCACCTTTCAATAAATATTCATCAGTATATCTACAGTGGCCAATACGACATCGTCCGAAAATGACTTTTAATCTGGACTTATAGCTCAAGGAGGTTTAACCGATGGTTGTTTCATTGCATGTAATTTATTATCCCCTCTGTCCGTCCGTGCAAATTCGTCTTTTCCGGAGCAGAACATAAAAAACGTTCAGTATTTCTTGACCAAACCTTGCACATAGAGTGGTCTGATGATGAGTAGGTGCTTTTGGTAATTTTAGATTTTTTAATGATATATGTTTTTGCGTTTACATGGCAACAACTTTAATTTCAACTGAATTTGGTGGTGGTCTTTGATAGTTTTTTATGTCTGAATAAAATATTTCGTACATTTCCATGGCAACAAGATTTACTTTGACTGAAATTGCTGGTACTGAACCGGAGCTGAACTTAAAAACCTTTCAATACTCTCCTTCCACTTTGTGGGTATTCAAGAAGCTAATGCCATAAATCAAGAGTACCACTCTATTTCCAACTTTACTGAGGTACATCAAACCGGTAAAGCATTCAGGCAGTCTTTTGCTGATACAGGCATGCTAGTATATGACTAGTTTACATATATATGTTTTCGTTAGATCAATGTGAAGAACAATATAACATATACTAAGCAGCAAAAGAAACGTCAGTTTGGAATTTTCCTTTGTATAAACATATAACTGTAAACTCATTTAATGTTTTGATTGTATATTTTTGACAGCATTTTCAACTTTATCTGAGCAAAGACATTCCTTCCCAAACTCAGAATTGAACCCAGGAAATTGTCTCAAAAACGCTACCTGATCTCGCTACCTGATCTCGGAGATTGTACGGTGTTCTCCTTGATTTTCATGCAACTCAGGCTGCACGTGCTGTTCACAAGGACAAGCCCTATAAAATGCACCCCCAAATCTGGTTGAAACATTCCCATTACAACTTCAGCAGGATGCCGCGACTCACGCCAGCTCAGAGGAACCAGGCGCTAGGAAGACTTGAAGTTGGCCACACTGCACAAGCCGTTGCAAATCACTTCCAGGTCAACGTCCGGACCATCTACAGGCTGCAGCAACGTTTCTGGGCCACCAACATCACAATTGATCGCCCCCGTACTGGCAGGCCAAGGGTGACCACAAGACTACAAAACCACCATATTGTGCGACAGCATGTACAGAATCCCTTCATGTAGGCATCCGAAACAGCACGCCAGACAGTGGGAACACATGGAAGACCAATCAGTACTGATACACTACGCCGACGTCATAACAGCGGAAACTTCCATTGCCATAGACCTTACCGTGGACCTATCCTCACCTCTCGTTATAGGCGTGAACGTCTACAGTTTGCCTACAACACCAAAACTCGCGATGAAGGCAATGGAGAAATGTTCAGTTCACAGATGAGAGTCGTACATCCCCTTTTTTGTACCTGGAATAAACTATTTGAGACTAGGATAAGCGTTGACGTTGCCTGGCGAAACGGGGATTGTGATACCACCACCAGCACCAGAGCCCAGCGTTCGACCCACACCACCACGCCTATCACCACGTGAGGAGGTCGAACATCAGCAACACCTCG